TATCGAGACGGGAGAGTGAATACTGGGCACCTCCTGTCCTTGTACGGCAACATTGTTATATTTTCGGCCTCATCTGTTTTTTTAAAGATAGAGAACAACAGAAGGACTCTGGTACTGTAGCGAAGGAAACGGCGACTTGACGAACCAAGCTACAGTGTGTGACGTGTATCCTACGTCGGAAAAGAAAGAAGGCGCGCACGTGACTCTATAACGTCATGCAAATTTTTGGTCACACCCCAACCAATCAGTGGCATCGCGACATAGATATAAACCGGAGCCGTAAACGACAGTCAAATGGATTCTATAAATCGCTCCACTGGATGAAGGAGAATTTCGTAAGACGAGCAGCTTCTGTAGAGGATTTTATCTCCTACAAATTCTACTACAGGTAGAGCGGTTGACGGAACTGGCTATTTTCCCAGCATCTCTAACGATGTATTTTATGTAAGAATTCCACTTGAGGCCTGGACTGAGTTTAGTTGATTTTTTTCTCCCTCCTCTTCTCTTGTCGAACTCTCTGCCCAGGAGCGGAGAGGAGCCCAAACGAAGCTATACCAAAGGATCAATAGAAAGTGTTATGTACTGAAAGACATTGAAACGAGAAGTGTTAATACCAAAACTGTGGGATGAATTACGGATTTAATTCACCCATAAACGACTTGACTTGAATTTTATATCGAGCAGTTTGAACAATGGAAAAGTGAACCAGTCTTAGTGGGCAATGTTGATTGACACACAGCTGCAAATGCAAGGTGTAAAGCGAAATTTACATTTTTCGTAAATGACGAATTTGGAGTTGATTTTTCAGGTCGAAAGTTGCGTTGAAAAAAGCCAGGAGGGGGTCGATAATCCACCCACACTCACCGATGAGATTTAGTGAGAGGTAATAATATGAGAGAGTGGACGAATGGAATTCTCCAGAATTATTGAATTCTTTTACTTCGCCAGTTTGAGCGAATGTCCATAAATACGAATGCGCGAAGCGAATTCGTCAGACGAGTCACAGAGGTGGGGCGGATGAAGACAAGAAAGAGACGGCAGAGTGTTCTTCCCAGCTACTGGTCGTGATACACACCACGCGATTGTCTGTCGAAGAGAGCTCCTTGACTTCAGCCTTGTGCCGAAATTTATCAAAACAGCAATCCAAAATTTACCAAGTCGATAAGAATATTATCACTTCCGATTTAGACGCGAGTTGGGCTGACAACTCTGAACTGAACTCTGATATAAACCAATTATTGTACGAAAGACTGATATATAAAAAAAAAAAACAGTATTTACTTTTTGTTCAATTTATTCGAGGGTTATTTTTTCCTGTACGTCTTCGCGCTGCTTGGACCTGCCTGACACGAAGATATCTGTGACTATCTTGAACTCCTTATGATCAAAATTAGATCACAACGTGGGATGAGGCAGGTCTGCGATGGAAGAGATCTTCATAGATCAGCCCGCGGTGTTAGAAATCTTGGACGACCGAGGAGGGTGTTGTTAGACAAACCCTACCCCTTGTATACGGTGTCTACTGGCAATTTTTGCCCGAGCCTATGGGCTCGAAACGCCGCACGTTATAAACTGACCTTTTGCCTCATCTTGCCTTGTGAAGAGGTTGATAAATACAGAGTTTAATCACAATAGGCGCTCATGACACGAGACTCCCATGTTTATAGAGCACTAGCAGCATGGCCGTGCTTGATTCAAAAATCGTAAGACTCATACAGCAATCGCTATCACTTGACTTAAAATATTTTTGCCCTTCCTTGCCTTTAAAGGAGTGCCCTTTGCTGTGCTAATGTTGCTACATGCCTTACTTCTTGCCTATCTCACACTGCGAATTTTTTCTAAGCTCTATACTAAACATCAAATCTGTTACGAAAAAAGAACTAAACAATATGAACACAAAACGATCAACTTTAAAAAAGGACTCGTAACTGGAAAAATCGAATGAAAAAAGAATGTTAACAACAAATACTTTTTCACACCAAACCCAGTTCTGCGGAATCAGAATCAACGTTGAGTTTAAGCAAGCGAATGAGCCAATTGGAGTAAAGTGCTATGCAGATTTAAATTTTTCCCACTTGTGACGAATGCAGCTATTGATTTTTTTTGCATGCTAGCATGCTAGTTAACATTTGTGTCAGTCAGCTGTTGGCTCTCACGCTAGCCAATAGAATCTTCCTGCCTATTCGTGGCAGCCAGCTATAGGCTCTCACTCTGGCCAGTAGAAAATGGCCGCAAACTACATGAAAAGTGCCGTAGAAGCATGAAAAATCGATTATTTCCACTATCGATGAGAGTTGGGAAATGCAATGTGGGTCTTGGGCTTGCCGCTAGCTTGGAGCATGTGCATGTAAATTTTGGTGCAAATCCATCGAAAATTGCAGCCGTGCATTCATTACACACACACACACACACACATACACATCCTGCTTTTATAGATAGAGATTAAATTCTCTTGTTTTTGTATTATGTAAAACCTTTATGGTTGTGTCGTATACTGGGTGTTCCAGCAAAATTGTCCAAATATGCGATAATTGTCCACCCCACAAAATGTTTAATATCTAATTGAGTTCCTTTCTTCCAGGTTTTTTAGATAAGACGTTTAGCCATCTTGACATCATCTATCGTAAGAATCACTGAAAAACCCTTTTTGTTATTCAGCTAGAAATAGAACAGGTTAAAATCCTTTTGTGTCGCCTTGTTATATCTTCGCAACTGAGAAATGGTGAGAGGAAAAATCATTCCGGCCTTCAGTAATGGTAATGGTTTCCATTTTCAAAGTCCATTCAAGAACCATCAAGAGAACGGTGAATGAGTTTAAAAAAGAGGGGACAGTAGAGAGGAAGACTGAATCAGGAGGTCACAGCAAGAAGTGGGATCATCCTTTTACCTTAGTGCTAAATACATTCTTATTGTTAAAATTTGAGTTCAATAGTGTTATATAAACCTCTGAGAATTCCAGTAAGATATCTTTAATCATTTCTAAGTTACAACGGTTCAAAGCTTAACCTAACAATTGGACATTTTTGCCGTTACACGATTTGGACAATTTTGCAGTTATACCCAGTATCTCCACCTATCCACTATGTCCCTCGGCAAGAAAGTCAATTGTCTTTATTGCAATTTCGTAGTCCCTTTGCGGTATGCTATTCGTGGAGCATGGAAATGGATTAGCCTATATTTATAAGCAATCCATTCCACTCAGTGACACGCGACCCACGATTGGTTAACGGATGATCATCTATATGAACGCGCTCACCTCATCCAGTGGAGAGGTATTGTTCTTTCTTTCTTCAAAAAGAGCATGCGACACGAACGCGTTTTGGCCTTGTTGTTGCTTGCAAAATAAATCAGTTTGTTTAAAAATCTGTGACTGTATAATAGTTGCCCCTCCCGATTTTATGCTGGGATTCTTTCTTAGCCAATAAAATATACCTGTCCTCGGTTTCATCTGACTCAGCCCCGGTTTGTCTTGTCTTAAGTCAGAACGCTACGTTCGCTTGTCCGAACTTGCTTTTGTATGCTGACACCAATTTTTAGTTCAACGTTTTGACATATTAATGTTAATTTGAATTATTACGGTTAATTTGCCTTATTACTGTTAAGTTGCCTTATTACTATTACTTTGCCTTATTAATGTTAAATTGCCTTATTACAATTAGTTTGCCTTATTACTGTTACTTTGATTTATTAGTGCTAATTTGCCTTATTACTGTTACTTTGCCTTATTACTGTTAACTTTCCTTATTATTATTGCTTTGCCTTATTACTGTTAAGTTGCCTTATTACTGTTATTTTGTTTTATTACTGTAACTTTGATTTATTACTGCTAATTTGCCTTATTACTGCTACTTTGCCTTATTACTGTTAAGTTGCCTTATTACTGTTACTTTGCCTTATTACTGCTAATTTGCCTTAGTACTGTTACTTTTCCTTATTACTGTTAAGTTGCCTTATTACCATTACTTTGCCTTATTACAGTTACTTTGCCCTGCATAAATAGTTTGCTTGCTTTATATACTTTTTGGCCTTGTTCTTTTCCTTATTATTGCTTTGTCAATTCTTTTTCTTAGACAGTTCGCTTACTTATTTTGCATTTGACCATGCCTGCTCACTCCACAACGTCGGCTTCATTTAAGTTTGATTTGTGCTTTTTTTTTTCTGAGAGGGAATAAAAAAATTGTAGTACGTTGTTTTGGTAGCACTTTCGAACCCGAAATGAGATTGGTAGGTCGGGAACAAGTTGAAATATCTGTGAAGCGTTTTGACAGACAACGGTAAGTGCGACACTGAGATCCGTAGACATATTGGGATGGCTAAGAAAGCATTCCAAAAGATGGGCAGAGAGAATTTCTCTGGTAACAAAGAAAAGAATACTGAGCCGTTACGTTACACCTGTCCTTCTTTACGGCAGCAAATATTGAACAATTTCCTCAAAGATAAAGAAGAGACTCGAGTCGACAGAGATGTGGTTCTACAGAAGGCTGTTAAAGATATCATGGATCGAGCGTGTGAGCAACGCTGAGGTCTTAGTGAGGTTGCAAACAAAAGGAAGTTTATACTTAACATAAGGAAAAGGCAGCTGAAGAATCTGGGACACATAATAAGGACCGAAGGCCTGGAGAATCTGATCCTCACAGGTCGAATAGAGGGAAAGAGAGACAAGGCAAAACAACGCATGACATACCTATCGGGCTTGGGCAAGTGGATGACAGAACGTGTTCTGGGGGAGATAGCAGAGGGAGGGAAATTGTTAAGAGCTGAAAGGGAAAAAGGGAGGTGGTGGAGAGACATGATCGCCTACGTCCTGAAATAAAACGGCGCATAAAATGTAAGAAAAAATTATAAAACCAGTGTTGGATTTCATCAAATGGTGTTGATAGATGCATTTATACACTTACCTACGGTATTTGTACGTAATTAAATGTAAGTAGCTGGAGCGGAATTTGAACCCGGCTCTACGATTTCTAATTTCGAGCGGCTCATTCTTACACCAGCCGGTTTACGGCCAGATTACATTGAAACACCGGTTCTCGTACGACCACCGAAGTTAAGCAATGTTGAGTTTGGTCAATACCTAGATGGGTGGCTGCTTGGAAATAGTTGTTGTTCTAAGCATGGATGTTCGGTCGGAAAGTACTTTACTCCAATTGACTCATTCGCTTGCTTAAACTCAACGAATGCACGGCCTCAATTTTCGACGGATTTGCGCCAAAATTTACATGCCAAGACCGACTTTGCATTTCCCAACTCCCATCGATAGTGGAATTAATCGATTTTTTCATGCTTAAGTCTCAGAACGGGAAATCGGGGAGCTGTGTTTCAATTTCAGTCGAGTTCGTTCATATTCTCTTATGCGTACATATGCTTGCCATATAAGAGTCTGCAATGTTATCGATCCTGACCTGGCATCTCGATGTCAGCCACTTTCTCACGGACATGACGCAACATTCCTTTGTCATTTCTACAAATATTTTCACGGCAGCTGCTCTGATCAGCATTTCCATGTGGCTCTGACTACACGAATTTAAGCGTGCTACTCGATTGGCAACTAGGTCTCACCTTTTTACTGTCAGACTATTTAAATGCAATCACCAGTTCTACTCTAACAGTTTCTTTCCGCGCACTTCCCGCCCGTGACACACTCCTCTGATTTCTTGCTTCCCTAATAACTACAATCTTCAAAAATTTAGCAGATCGCCACAGCTAATAGGGAGATGTAATTAAATATACTTTAATGTTTAAAAAAAACATTTTCAGTATTATTATTGTTTAGGTAATAAGCATTAAATGGCTATATTGTGAAAAAAGAAATTTTCGGCAATATATGCATTTTTTACTTATTTATGGTTAATTTTTAACTTTTATCAAAAAACGACATTCTTGTACTTGTAGATATGGACAATATTAGAGATTAATTGTTGAATTTTTAATCTCTATAAAAGGCAGGATGTGTGTGTGTGTGTGTGTGTGTGTGTTTGCATGTGTGTGTGTGTGTGTGTGTGTGTGTGTAACGAATGCACGGCCGCAATTTTCGACGGATTTCCACCAAAATTTAAATGCACATGCTCCAAGTCAGCGGGAAGGCCAAAACCGACTTTGCATTTCCCAACTCCCATCGATAGTGGAAATAATCAATTTTTTCATGCTTCTACGGCAGTTTTCATGTAGTTTACAGCCATTTTCTACTGGCCAGAGTGAAAGCCTATAGCTGGCTGCGACAAATAGGCAGGAAGATTCTATTGGCCAGTGTGAGAGCCAAAAGCTGACTGACACGAATGTTAACTAGCATGCTAGCATGCAAAAAAATCGATAGCTGCATTCGTCACAAGTGGGAAAAATTTAAATCTGCATGGCACTTTACTCCAATTGGCTCATTCGCTTGCTTAAACACAACGTTGATTCTGATTTCGCAAAACTGGGATGCATGTGAAAAAGTATTTGTTGTTAACATTCTTTTTTCATTCGGTTTTTCCAGTTACGAGTCCTTTTTTTAAAGCTGATCGTTTTGTGTTCATTTTGTTTAGTTCTTTTTTCGTAACAGATTTAATGTTTAGTATAGAGCTTAGAAAAAATTCGCAGTGTGAGATAGGCAAGAAGTAAAGCATGTAGCAACATCAGCACGGCAAAGGGCACTCCTTTAAAGGTAAGGAAGTGCAAAAATATTTTAAGCCAAGTGATAGCGATTGCTGTATGAGTCGTACGATTATTGAATCAAACACGGGCAACGCCGGACCATGCTGCTAGTTAATAACTATTTACTCACTTGTTGATATTAATAGCTATCTGTTTATGTCTAAACGTTTTGGATTGATGCAATAATAGATATTTATATTTCATCTCTCTGATAGATGTAGCGATTTGTAAATGCAACATCGGTCGCCATCTTTTATGTTCTTGAAGCTTGTTCCTTTTCTGTGTTTTTCTTAATCCTTCCTATTTTTAGTCTTCTCTTTCACTTTCATTCCCTGTAACTCCCGGCGTACTAATGGCATTCCCCCTTTGCTTGGGGTGAAATGACTAAAAACCAAAACCATTTCATGTGGGAGGATCCTTCCTAACCTTTTGTTTGTGGCAGCATGGATCGTCAGCATCTCGATTTCTATCATTATTTTCACTCCGAGGTATATCTGGTATCCATTTTTGTTGTTGCTGCTGTCGAAAGATCTAAAGAGATGCGATATCTTTTTTGTTTTTATTTGTGATTCAGTAGCGCCAGTTCTCATTGTTCGAAGAAGTATTGTTTTGCTAAGTCTTACCGGCTTCATTCACTATCACTTTCACTTTCACTTTCACTTTCATTCCTTGCCTGGGCTGAAACGATAACGAAAAAAATACGGTCTACTTCCACTGGCTTGAGTTACTTGATAGAACTTGTATCAGTAAAAATCTGTTTTACCTCCAAAAGATTCTTACAAGCTAAAAATATTTTCTGGCTTTAAATAACCTATAAAACGTTGATAAACCGTAAGAAAACGCACATCCTAACGCTTGGTGGAAGCCGAGGTCCGACTGATGAGGAAATATCGTTTTGTCAGTAATGCCTGCCTCTGTTAAGTGAATCTTCTACGTCATAAAATGAACCTTCCGTGCAAAATTCTTGGGGAGAATTTAGTGAGGATTACTTTATCAATAATTGTTTCTAGTGATCGGGTAATCAAAAAGGCAGGATGTCTCTGTGTGTGTGTGTGTGTATGTGTGTGTGTGTGTGTGTGTGTGTGTCCGCGCGAGCGTGTATGTGTAACGAATGTACGGCCGCTATTTTCGACGGATCTGCACCAAAATTTACATGCACATGCTCCAAGTTAGTGGGAAGACCAAGACCGACTTTGCATTTCCCAACTCCCATCGATAGTGGAAATAATCGATTTTTTCATGCTTCTACGGCAGTTTTCATGTAGTTTGCGGTCATTTTTTAACTGGCCAGGGTGAGAGCCTATAGCTGGCTGCCACGAATAGGCAGGGAGATTCTATTGGCCAGCGTGAGAGCCAACAGCTGACTGACACAAATGTTAACTTGCATGCCAAAAAAAAATCGATAGCTGACTCAACACATTGATATATTTTGACTCAACACATTGATATAATTTGAATTTCAATGAAAAAAGTATCCTACATTAGCTAAAAGGGCTTTGTTGCAATTTTCTACTTCTTATATATGTGAATTAGGCGCCTCAGGATTGAATAACATCAAAAGTAAGAAGCGAGAAAGACTACGCTCAACTGAAGAAGAAATTAGATTCTGCTTATTGCACATTCGACCAAACATTGAAGATATCATGAAAAATCACCAGGCATAGGTTTCACACTAAATAATCTACACAAATAGTTGAATAGAAACATTGAAATAAAGTTCAGAATTCTGTGCGTGGATTTTTAAAAAAACCTATGGTTTTATGTTAAAACATTCAAATGTATACTCTTTAAAAATTTTGTTAAGTGTGCCGTGATATTTTCATTTGCTTCAAGATATGCCGCTGCTTAAAAAATTTTGACACTGGATTAGATAATGAACAGAAGTTCAGTACTGTTTCTTTAAAATATATATTTTCAAATCTTTTCGCTAAAAGAGATTGGTAGATAAGCATTTGCAACGGCCCAGTACACTTATCCAGTTCACCTGCCTTTGTATTCAATTGGTTTAGAAGCAATTTTCAGGCCAGTTTTTTTTTTTTTTTTTGGTACAGAACTCTCTAATTTCGGAGTCTCAGAAATATGTTAATTAGTAACATCCATGAAAATATCACGGTTTTCCCATTTTAATTTTTTGATGAATCATAATTCATAATTTAATAAATGGATAAGCTACTTACGAGTTTTACGACAACCATAGTGAGGTCGTTAGCTGAAGATGATGAGAATTGCGAAGATTACGAGCATATGGAATAATAGATAGTATTTGAATAAATGAATAAGTATTTAACTTTTTATCCGACATTAGCTAAAATTACTTTATCAGTTTCATTGCAATTTTCCAATTCATATTAATGTGAAGTGGGCTACTCAACAGTAAAAAAAAACCGAAAAATAAGAAGCGAGAAAGACTACACTCAACTGAAGAAGAAATGAGGGCCTGCTTATCGCACATTCGGCCAAACAAAAGCTGCACAAATAGTTGAATAGAAACATTGAAAAAAAAAGATAAGTTCATACTTTTATGTGTATTTAAATAACCTATAAAACGTTGATAAACCGTAAAGAAAAGGAAAAACTAACATCTTAACTAAACGTGTAAGCCGAGGTTCGACTGATGAGGAAATATGACTTTGTCGGTGTTACCCGCCTCTGTTAAGTGAAACTTCTATGTCATAAATTGAACCTTCCGTGCGAAATTCTTGCGGAGAATTTAAAGTGAGGATTACTTTATCAATAATTGTTATACTAAACACGTCGATAAACAAGAACGAGAAAAGAGAGAGAGAGAGAGAGAGAGAGACACACACACACACACGTTCTTTTCGTTACACTGGTTGGCGTCGCTTGAGTTAATCTGTAGGAATTTACGGCGAAAAATGTGACTCACTCCTCATAAAGAAGTCAACATATTCATGTATTCGTTTGGTCGGGAATAAAATCCTCGCACAAGGCTTATTCGAGCGAAAAGAAGCCGACGATATGTCGCCCATTGGCCTTTATCGGCGTTGCGAAGGATACGCACGCACGGCTTTAGTGAAAAGCCATAACGCCAGCACAATCTATATATATATATATATATATATATATATATGTGTGTGTGTGTGTGTGTGTGTGTGTGTATTGTGGTGAGCGCGTGTGAGTGTACATGAATTTAAAGAAAGACAACTGTCCAATAAGTATGCAAATTGTTTACTTTCTCAGTTGATATGAATAAGTTGACCAAGCCCCCAAATTATTTAGACAAACACACACATATATATATATATATATATATATATGTGTGTGTGTTTACGTGTGTGTGTGTATATTTTTATATATATGTGTGTGTGTGCTTGTTGCGAATCCCTTAAGTCAAAAACTGTTCTATATGCGCAATAAGATTATATTTCCACACACCACCCGCCATATATATATATATATATATATATATATATATATATATATATATATATATAATTGATAAGCGAACAAATT